TGGCGCCCTGCACCCCAGCTCCGCGCACCTGGAACGGCCGGGATGGGGGGCCTCGGGGGCCCTCGAGTCCTGTTCCCGCCCGTTGCGCTGTCCTGGGAGGCATCGTTGCCCCTCGCTGGGTTCATTGCGGACCCAATGCAGCGCAGGACCCTCCGGAATGGGCGTCCCCCGCCCCGTCCTCGTGTTGGACACTTAATAGCCTCCGTCCTATCGCCTTTCTCTTCCTTCCTAACTGTCCCAGCGTATCTGCTGACCTGCTGTGTTTCCACTGTGGAATGTGTGCAGGGTGCCCCCTGCAAACTCACTTAAGCCAGGGTGACCAACTCCCCAGCCCCACCGGGATTCCCCTCGTGGCCCGCTGTCCACTTGACCGCACACGTTCTTGTAGGAACTAACACTCCTGGTGGATTTTGTACTTTCCCCGGCAGCTGGCTCTGATCGCCCTCTGCTCTTCCTGCAAAGAAGTGGGATTGGCTGGCTCATGTGTTTGGGCTTTCTGGACACCTCCACCCTCACCTGGGGAAAATGTCTGAAACACACAATTAAAGCAGCAGGTGACACCCCACGCCCATTTTCAGCCACATCAACCAGTCCACACAGCTTTGCAAACAGAACCCCGTGGGGGGTAAGGGTCCCAGGGAGTCTCCAGGCTGCACTGGGTGACGCGGCCACCCTTTCCGACCTGGCTTCCGAGCAGACCCCTCGGTGGTCACCCTTGCTTGGGTTCGCTTAAAAAAAGCCTCAACAGGGGACCCGCCTGTGGCCAGTCTGTTCCAACTTGGGGGCAGGCCCTGTGTGTGAGACCAAGGAGACGCCATCTGGTCCGGTCTGCCCTTACAGAAGCGGGTTACCAGGCCTTGCTGCCGCAGTGCACTCCCTCCCTCACTGCCCCTGAGTCGATGCTGACTCATAGCAACGCTACAGGACAGGGTAGAACTGCCCCTCGGGGGGTTTCCAAGACTAACTCTTGCCGGGAGTAGAAGGCCCTGTCTTTCTCTGTTGGAGCAGCTAGCGTTTTCCCACTGCAGACCTTGCGGTCAGCAGCCTGACGCATAGCCACTGCTCTGCCACTGCAGCACCTAGGTGGGTTCACACCACCAGCGTTTGTTCAGCTTAGTGGCCACGCTCAAACTCGCTTTCTCAGCTGCCGTCCCTGGAGTCCAACCTGAGTGGACCGGTGCCAGTGAAGTTGCGGGCTTGGGGGGTGGGGCGGCCTCGGTTGTGCGGGTGGTCACCCTGGCCCGTGTGCTTTGTCCCCAGATGATGTGCGAGGTGATGCCAACCATCAGCGAGGCCGAAGGCCCCCCGGGAGGCGGAGGGAGCCAGGGCTCGGGCTCCCCGACTCAGCCCGATGCGGACTCCCACTTTGAGCAGTTGATGGTGTCCATGCTGAGCGAGAGAGACCGCCTCCTGGACACGCTGAGGGAGACCCAGGAGACGCTGGCCCTCACCCAGGGCAAGCTCCAGGAGGTTGGCCACGAGCGGGACTCCTTGCAGAGGCAGCTCAACACGGCACTCCCGCAGGTACGCCGGCCCTCGTCCCGAGTGCGCCATCCTCCCAGACCAAGCGCTTTGAACCTCCGGCCACCAAACGTGTGGCTCACGCTCTGGGGACCACACAGAGAAGAGTCCAGGGCTGTCCACCTCGTAGAGCAAACTGCATAGCCCCCTGGGCCTCAGGAAGTGCCTCATCTCGCCCATTGCTTCCTTGGGCAGGGGGGAGGTGCTGCCGAGGGTCCAGAAAAAGCAGGGGGCAGCCCTGTGGGCGGCCATAGCATCCAACGCCAGCAGCCGCTCCTTGCTAGGCAGCCTGTTGCAGGCACTTCCAGCCTCTGAATGACAGGATGGACGGCCTCGCGGCCGCCTTTCCCAGAACACCCATCTCCCCATCCGACTTGTGGGGGATACTGGGAGACCAGGGACAGGTCCCTTCGGACCCTTCTGGGGCAGCTGAGGGGTGTTGGGCGAAAGGTCCTGCCAGGGTTGTAGCTTTTCCGTTTGGAACCATTTTCCTCTGAAAGCCTCTGCCATGGTGCTGAAGGGGTGGCCGAAGAAGAGATGGCGGGAGGGGGAAAGGGAGAAAACTAGAAAGGCATGCGGTAGCTGGTGCTACAGGCAGCGGATGACAGCAAGGCCACAGAAGTGTGACAACGTCTGGGTGACAGAGGTGGAGGTAGGTAGGTGACATTGGGGTGACGTGTATATGTGATGTCGGGATGACCAGGTGTGTAGGTGAGATGTCTGGGTGACCAGGTGTGTAGGTGAGATGTCTAGGTGACAAGGTGTACAGGTGACGTCTGGGTGACAGGTGGAGGGGTGTAGGTGACATCTGGGTGACTACATGTGTATGAGATGTCTAGATGACCAGGTATGTGGGTGACATTTGGGTGGCAGATGGAGATGTGTAGGTGACGTCTGGCTGGCAGGACTGTGTAGGGACATCACGTGGAGGAAGTGTGTATGTGGCAGCCAGGTGGCATTGCTTCTCCTAGGAGTGGGGACCTCGATGGCACGTCTGGCCTCTGCTGGGTGAGTGGTGAGGTGGTCAGTGACAGGGAGCGGCCCAGCGGGCCCTGCCTGGGCTCCTGCCTCCTGAAGGGTTGAGGAGCCCTTTTGGATTTCCTTGGAGACAACAGCCCTTCGATAGGAGTGCTGCCTCTGAGGGGCATCCCACGCTCCCTGAATCCTGCTTCCCCTGTGTATTTCCTGGGGGCTGGCTTAGAAAGCGAGGACATGCCTTCCTTTTAGGGCCTCCCAGGTCAGCAGTTCAAAACCACCACTTGGGCCTTGAGAGAGAGATGAGGCTATCTGTTCCCGTCAAGAGTGAAGGTCCTGGAAATCCCCAGGGCGGCCACTGCAAGTGTATTGTGTATGTGGCTGCAGTGGGCTTGTGCGTGTGGTTCTGGGGCAGCATGTGAGCTGTATGGATGGGTGGTCGGGGTCAGGAGCAGTGAAGGATGACCATTCACGAGGATGGGCACGCACTGGGCTGACGTGCTTTGCACAGCGCCCTCTGGGGCGGAGGGAGGCAATCAGTGTCACCCTTGTGGGTGAGCCTGTTGCTAGGGGATTTGTTTCTAGCGACTGACCTCTCAACATCGTTGCCTGAAGAGGCTGCCTGCCAGTGTAATGGGGCGGGGTCAGCAGGTCACAGCCCCACCCCAGCACCTCAGCCTCTGGTTTCAGAACCACTGTGGCCACTAAGTGAATGCCCCATCCATGCTCCCCTTCCCATGCTCAGCCTGGTTTGCCAGCTACCCACCGTCCACATCCGTTCTTCCTAGGCCTGAACAGACCAGAGTTCATTAATTCTATTGCGCGCGGGCATTAGGGTTGTTAACAACTTCTACAAATGCAACTGTGAGCGAGTGTTCTTGGTGGTGGTGGTGTGTGTGCGCATATGTATTTTTCTGGCATACATAGGTGAGCTATAGGTGTGTCCAGGGGGGCAGGACATACGTCTGTCCAGCCATGGTGGGGTTGTAGCCCAGCCAGACGGGAAGAGCCAACTGCTCCTTCCTCGAGTTGCTTCCTTGGCCTCCCCCAGTCTGGCTGCTGCTGCCGGGGACCTTCGACTCGCCACCAACTCAGAGTCCCTGCTCACCGTTAGGGCTGTGTTTGAGCGCATCCATCTCATCCAGGATCGTCCTCTTTGTCACTGACCCTCTTGATCACCTGTGATGCCCTCCTCCAAGGACTGGCCCCTCCCTCCGATCATGTGTGCACAGTGAATGTGAGATGGCGTCTCGGCACCCCACTTGCAGGGAGCATGTAGCGGTTGGGTGAAAGATTACAGTAGCCTCAGATTGTCTCTCTCTGCAGCCACAACCCAGGCTGATGCCCACGAGGCTCGGGCCAAGCATGCCTCCTCTTTCCAACCTTTATGCCAGTTCTCGTGCCCGCGGCACTTCCTACCGCTCTGCTGGGACTGCAGTTGGTGCAGTGGCTGTGGGGTGTATTAGGGATGTAAGCGGCTACAATTCAGGATCAGGGTCGACTTGGCAGTGCCAGAACAACTCAGGACAATGTTCTTGGACCTGGACACCATTGTGCCCACAGACAGGCCTCTGTCACCTGGCCCTTCCCAGGCTTGCCCATCTGCCCTGCTGGTCATGTGGTATAGCCTTTAGCTAGCCATGGAAGTACCTGGAGGCACCCCGCTCCTCCAGGAAGCTTCCTGCCCGAAGGTGCTCAGCTTCCTTGTTCTGTGGGTCTGTGCGCTCCTCCCACCGTCCTGTCTGCTGGTCGAGGCCGCTGCCTGCCCTTAGCGCGCTCAGTCTCCCGGCTCTAGCAGTCTCTCAGCCCAGGGGCCCTGGGCCCAAAGCACTTGCTCTGCTCCCAGTTCTTTCCCCCTTCAGCATGTGGACTTGCCCCTTTTTCAGCCTAGTAGGGTTACAGAACTGACCAGCCTCCTTGGTGGGCCTCAGTATCTGCTTTCTGTGTTGTTGTTAGGGGCCGTGGCATCGGTTCTGACCCATAGTGACCCATATGCTCAACAGAACTCAACACCGCCCAGTGTGTGCCCCCCTCACACCTGCTTGTGCGTTTGAGTCCTGACAGCTGCTGTGTCCATCATCTCGTCTGGTCCAAGCATGGCGTCCTTCTCCAGGGACTGGTCTCTCCTGATAGCATGTCTAAAGTACGTGAGCTGAAGGCTCACCGTCCTCGCTGTACTTCTTCCAAGACAGAGCTGTTTGTCCTTTTGGCAGTCCCTGGTGCTCCGAGTGTTCTTCTCCAGCACCGCGATCCCAGTGCGTCAGTTCTCCTGCAGTCTCCTGTGCAGCTGAGGCGATTGAAGGGGCTGGCTTGGGTCAGGCGTGCCTTCGTCCTCAGGGAACCTCCACGCTTCAACACTTTAAAAAGGCCTTGTGCAGCAGACGGGCTGTGGATGCAAGCAGCACGTCCTTGGTGCCCAATCCTCTCTCTCACGACGTGTGAGGTTTGTGTGGTTGTTTCCTTGCCTCAAGTTGTGCTCCACGTTGGAGGCGTTGCTGGTCTTCGTGGCAAGGGCTTCAGGTCCTCCTGGTTTTCAGCAAGTGCGGTGGCGGCGGCTCCATGTCGCAGGTGTGACAGGCCTTCCTGCAGGCCTGACGCTGCACTGCACTCTGCTTCGTGTCCTCCTGCTCCTCTGCTGGCTGACCCACACACGCCTTTCCTGAGTTTCAACCGTCAGTACGATATCCCCTTGTTCCCTTTGCACATCGTCCCGCCCAGTCGCCTGCGGGGGCAAGAAGACCCCAGCCAGAAGGGCCCCGTGAACCCAAGCAGAGAAGCCCGTCACCCTGCAGAAATGCTGAGTCCGGACACCCGAGGCCCTTGGGGGCGGCGGTGGGTGGGGTGGGGGCCTCTCCGGTGCCGCCTTTCTTGAAGTGCCCATTGAGGGCCTTGTGGTCATTCTGTCCCCACCCAGGGCATCCTTTGTCCGTGCTGGGGGTCTGCAGGTGTGGCAGGGCTGCCTCACTTGACTTGCTTGTTTTGAACGTGGTGCAGGTGAACAGTGTGTTGGTGGCAGTGGAAACAGGCACACGTGTAGCCTGACCTTTCACCCACGGCCAACCCCTCCCTTCCCTGCTCCTGCCCGCTCTCCAAACCCCGCCTGTGCCCTTGTCTTTATGTGGAAGTGAGGTCGTGCAGACTTGCCCTGATGTGCTGGGCTGGGTGTACTCAGTGTGGTCTCTTCCGGCTCCACCTATGTTGTGACACCCCCTGTGGGGACTGCGTTTCTCCTGCTGATGGTGGGGCACCCACTGGGTGTCCGGCATGTTTTGTTCACCCAGTCGTCTGCTGGTGGGCACCCTGGTGGCTTCTACATTTGGGCTGTGTGCACATTGGTGCATCAGCCTCTTGGGAGGAGTGTGTTTCCACTTTCAAGACTAAGAATATACCTAGGGGTGCAGCTGCTGTGTTTATGGTGTGGTTTTGTGTTTTGGGGCAGGAACCATCACGCCCCTTTCCACAATGGCTGTGCCATTTGGCATCCCCTCCCCCCAGCAGTGGGCTATGGCTTCTTCCTGCTTCCCCACCTCCTCATCAGCGTTTGCCCTTCTCGAGCCGCCCCAGTGGGAGTGGAGGGTTTCTCCGTGTGGTTTTGTTCCAAGTCTCTCCGATGGTGGGGGCACCCAGCCCCTTTTTGCGGGTTCGGGGGCCACTTAAAGGGCCTCTTAGATGAACGTTCTATTGTCTGGGGCCACTGCCCAGGCCACCGCAGCCCGTGTTGCTGGGCGTAGGGGTGGGGATGTGGGAGCAGTGGCTGACCTCCTGTGTGTGACTGGCTGACCGCTGGCTCTTCCCTGCCTGCCACTCCCCACTGCCTCCTGCTGCCCCCGATTCAGAGTCCCTGAAGGGGAGCCCATCTCCCCTCGTGGTTCTCGTGTCTGTGAGTGTGTGTGATATCGCCCTCCCGAACCCAGCTGCGTCCTGTGCGGAAGAGGAGCGCTCCTTCAGTGCTTCCACGAAGCGCAGGCCCTCTGCGCCGGTTCTGCTGCTCCTGGACAAACGTCGCCGACCGAGCTGTCACGTGATCC